ACCCCGAACAGCAACGACGGGTATGCCACACTGCACGGGCCCGGGCCAAAGGAAAGGCTAAATGCCCCAAAAGTACCGAGGAGTGTATGCCAGGCCCCACAAGACATGATGGCCAGAATCAGAGGGAAGCAGAGGGCACCTCTGTAGAAAAGTAGAGAGCGAAACCCAGTATTGATGGCAGTTAAGCCACGGGCCGTAAACGAGTTAGCGCAGCAGAGCCTGAATACGGGCAGGACTGATAGCAAAACCTTAGCAAAGCACAGCGACTCAAAATGCGACGGCAGCAATCTTGAACCCTGCAAAGAAGCCTCCGTGTAGCTATACGACAAACCTCCAGCCAGTAATCAGTAATGACTGTGATGGACCGCAATTGTCTCGCTCCAGACCGGAATGAAAGCCGATACTGAGCTGGGCCTGAGTCCCAGGAAGTGAAAGCGCTGGCCTCGACGAGACTTGCTCCAGCGCGGATCTTCTCGTATGCGGCCTGCGTAGGTTCTGCACTTGGGGTATGCTGCAGCCTTGTGAAGCAAACATACCGGGGAGTTGCAGCTTGCCTCAGCACTATCAGTGCCTCCGACGCCGATGATTGGCAGTCTCCCACCTTTCCGAAGCTCAGGACCGAAGTTTCCTCGACCTGTCCACGTAAACCTGCCTGTGGCTTCGAAAGCTGACCGGATGGCAGCAACACTCCGTCGATGTATGACCTTGCCGCTGACACCTCCTTTACCGATGGCATCCGCAGATTGCCGTCCTGCGCAGGATAGCTGCGCCTCCGGGATTTTGATAGTGTTTGAGATAACGATGCCATCCACGACCTTCGAGTCTTGAATAACTCTCAGCAGCTCTCGCTGGCACGCTCGGCCATCGTCAGAGTCTGAAGTTGCCATGAGTTTGACCAGTATCGGCGGCGCCCGCTCCCACTGCATCTCTCGACTTTGTCTAGCAATGGCCTGCAAGAGATCGGACAGGGCACCTGGCTCCTCGAAAGTCTTTCCCTCTGCGGTGTTGGGACACGACACATTGATCACCACGAAGTCCGCCAAGGGAGCCAGTGTCTTGAAGCTATGCACGAAATCCTCGACAGCAGCCGGCCCTACAATGGCTGGATTGTGCGTCTTGGCAATGTTGATTCCGATAGGAGCACCTCCTTCAACAGAAGTGAAGGTCTTGAGACGAGCTGCGACGCACTCAGCGCCCTCATTGTTCAGGCCCATGCAATTGATGACTGCCTGGTCGCTCGGTATCCGCCAACACCGTGGCCTTTCATTCCCTGCTGCCGGTTCAGCAGAGATGGATCCTACTTCTGCGAAGCCAAGCTGCATGAAACCCAGCCGGTATAAAGGAACCTTGGTAATGAAAACCGGGTTCGCGATTTGCAAGAAATTTAAAAACTGTCTTCGCACAACCAAACCAAAAACACAGAAGTATGGCGAATCCAACAGCAGCGTCGAGTGCAGCATTCTTGTCAAATCCAGCCGCAATTCCCACCGGAGTGTCCTGACGACTCTGCGAGACCGTAGCAAAGTAGTAGCGGCAGTGGCAGCAGTAGCAGCAGCGACAGCAGCTGCAGGAGCAGCTGCAGTAGCGGCAGCAGTACTAGTAGTAGCAGCAGTAAGAGTAGGAGTACGAGGAGGTGGAGGAGTCGCAGTAGTAGTAGTAGTAGAAGAAGTAGGAGTAGCAGTAGTAGTAGTAGTAGTCGTCGTCGTCGTCCTAGTAGCACCATAAGCAAGAACAGCAACAGTGTGATAACCGCGGTGTCGGTTTGCGCATTCATCACTGCATCGAGTATCTTCATCATGACCATGGTACTCATCATGAGAAGGAGCTGCACCACAAGCAGCAGCAGCAGCAGCAGCAGCAGCAGCTGGAAGCCACATTTCTTCCGATGGCCATCTACATTCCTATTCTGCGGCTATGCCTGAGGACACGACGAAAGCCAGTCGCCCATCGAACAACTCTTGCCGCAGATTTGGCCCGCACGAAGTTGACTGCGCTGCTGGCGGACGCAACAGCCAATCCTCCGTGGCTGCACTACTTGGCGACAAAGGTACTGTAAAGAAACAGCATGTTAGCGCCGAGGACTGGCATAATATTCATTCTCACCAATTGTTGCTCTGGCATGACAGCTGAAGCAAGACCGTCTGAGTTTCGGGCTAGGGGCAGCTTGGCATGCGACGGTTCAAGCAGCAGCCGACACGCCTGGCGGAACAACGATCAGTGCACAGGTCGCAGCACTCTGAGACTCATTCCTATCCTGCTAGCTTGCATTCGCGATACATGTAGTTTCGTTATCTTCCAGATTGATCGGGACTAGGCACACTCACGAGCACGTGCATGCTGGTAGGTCTGACTCCACATTGATTTCCTTCTCACGGAACACCAGCACTGAAAGCTCAGAACCGGAAGAAGCCCCAGAAAAAGGCACTTCGATCCGCCCTGGAAACCCAGGCAGACTAAACTGGACTTGTCGCCGGGCCTGCAGAAGCTCCCCTGCTCGGAGCGTCAAGGTGTGCGCTGTTTCTGCATCTGTTTGCCTCGGGAGTCCATTGCTAAACCGATTCTGCTTAACTCTTGGTTTGCTGGGCGACTGGCATGACGATCGGAGCCACCTTTCAGCGAGGCAGTTGCTGAGAGCGCCGGCTATTGGTGTGTTCGAGCTTCCGGCAAAAGTCGTGTATAGCCTCGCGGAAAAAATGGTCAACCCCTCTGAAACACTTGCGAGCTTTTGCTGAAGTCGGCATGTACCACACTCAACTTGTTCTGTTGCGAGTCCCAGCGCTTGGAACTGAATCCTTGACCGGCAAGTGCATGCTGTGCATCTGCAAGCGAATCCCTGACCAGCATGTGTATGCTGCGCATCTGCAAGCAGCAGCGATAAGACTACTTCACGGTCTGATATTTGTGGACAACATGAAGCGCCTCCGATACCCGCATCCCTGGAGGCAAAACTCTGTAAGCTCTTACCCTCTGGATGGAGTTGTGAGGTCAACCTTAGCACTAAGCACTCGTTTCTGGGGCTTCGCGGCTCTGTCTCTCACGCGATTGGATGACATGGAATCTGGCTCAGCTTTGCACAAACTTTCACCCTGCAGCTCATGCAGCTTTTTGGCCCACGCATTAGACTCAGCTCTAGCTGCATCCGGCTGGTATTCAAGGGCTTTAACGTACTGTTCATGGCATTTCGTCTTCCAAAACCAAAAGATTTTGCAAGACACTGACCTGATCATGGAGGGGTGTCATCTGCGCTGCCCGAAAGCCGTCATGCTGCTACCAACGTACCGTTTTCATATGGTACGTTGGTAGCAGCATTGACCCCACAATATTTCCATTCGTGGGAAAGAAAGTTGCTAGGACAACATTGGATGCTGAGCGTACCGCCTAGTATCCATCTCTGTGGAAATGACTGGAAGACATACACGTCGAGCAAGTCTTCAGCTCCAACCCAAGAAAGACATTCCCCGGCATGTTCTTGGGCATGATCTTCGTCGAAGTCCCCTTGAAAAGACATTGGCGGGGCGACAAGAGGACGTCGCTCAGCTTAAGCATATGCTCCTGTGTTAGGGCGGCACATCTAACTGTTCCTTCTCACAGTGCCTCGATTATCGATCGGGTTGGCCGACTTTACCAAGAGCTTGAGCAGTAGCAGTCTTTGTGATACGTGCCGGAGTCAATCACAAAGTACGCTGGCAGCAGATGGTGTATAACCTCCCGGAATTGCTTGCTTTCCTCTGGCTTCATTCGGGAAGCATGCTTCATGTGAGATTGAACCCGCACTTCAACTGTTTCATCCAGCCATGCTGGGATTGCAGGCTGTTCAATCTCAAACTTGCTCCGCTCCTGTAGCTTGGGAAATCGCACCTTCTCATGCTGCCGTTTTTGCTGTAGTGGCAAAGGGGTCAGCCTGTCTCTCTGTCACTATGCCTTCAGTGCCAGAGTGCTGCCGCATGCAGCATCAGATTTCAACAGCAACTGCATGGGTCATGCTAAACAAAAACCTACATGCTAAAGCAAGGCTGAGCCTCGTCGAAACGGACTCCCGCCTTGGTAACTGTCAAGGTGCAACCGACAACCCTCAAGACAACAACAACGAAGCACTTGGAAGCGGTCGTCGTGTTCCCTAAGCTAAGGGTGCGTCCATGACAAGCGGTGGTCTTCCTGATGTCTTGGAAGACGTTGCAGATAGGCCTCCAGTCTGCATTGAGGCTGCCCCCAGGCAATTTAATTACGAAGAAGCAGAACCGGGGAAGGCGCCCAGCCGAGAGTCGCGGCACCTCCAGCTTCGATCCCACACTGTTCAGAGACATGTTGTTCTACTTCCTTACCTGTCACGCCCGCCGTGCGGAGTGCTGCTGAGCGTATTGTGCGGAAAGCTGAACCTTCGGACACAAGGATGACCGGCATGCCGAAAGCAACCCGAGGGCCCGACGGGCTGTCATGTTGCAGGCCAGTGCTGCAGTATGCCAGTGGTTAACAGCTGTACGCTGTTGGTCTTCTCATGTTGAGGTTGGCTGCGAAGCATTGTTTGTTCGACTGGAGCTGGGCTGTTTGTGCTGAAAAATGCGGTTGCTAAGACGGCCGCAGGCCGAATCGAGCATCAACAGCATCCTCGACTGCCATCGGCTGCCGCACGACAAAAACTCGTCGACCTTCTGCCACGTGTTACAATCAGGCGAGGAAGTCTCACAGCTCAAGCACTGTCGATCAACAGTGCTGTTAATTGGTGCTCTTACTTCAAGCACGGACACCGCGTGGAAGGTGAAACAGAGTTTGTCCACAAATCCGTTCTGCAGATGGGAAGATTCAACCACCATTCCTATTCAGCTGTTCAAGAACGTACACGATGCAGCGTTTGGACAGGAAAAGCTCTCTCCCAGGCCAGCATGTTAAAACAGGGGCTGGGTTGCTGCGAAGCAACTCTGCATCACATTAGAATGATGCGCACATTTGCATAGAGCATGCACTCAGTGCAGCTCCACGAAAAGCACGGTTAAGGTTGATGCTTAGGGGGCGTTCGCGTCAGTGTCTATCCATCGAACACGCCGACCGTCTGTCCATTCACCTGTTCATCGTCACCATGCTTGGGCCCAATTTGCGTCCGCCATGCCAGCCTTTGCGCTCTTCACCGGAAGCCGTAACCTCAGGAAACTTGTTGTCGGCACAGGACAACTTGACAGAGGACGATTTAAAAAAACATTCCCAGCAAAAACTGCCCGTAATTGTTTCTGACTCGCCTTCTGGTGCTCGAGATTCCGCTATGCTCACGTGCGCTTGAAAGGCTTACTCTGGAATCCACATGCCGATCCCTGAGCTAACATGGACACGGAGGAGGTTGTCAGTTTTCAGGTTGTACACAGGGTGGGAGCTGATATTCTCAGCGAACAGCTGTACTGCTTCCATAAAGGACACTTCTTGCCTGCTTGCCATCTTCTCATGCCAGCAGAGACATGATGAAAAAGTTCGGTTCCAATTCACAACGTTTCGCTCCGCGCAGAGCGATTGCATGCTAAGGTCAGGACATAAATTCCAACACCATGCTGCTTGCCCTCCTTCCTGGCTTCGACAGGAACGCCAGGCTCTGACAACACGAGATTTTTTCACAAGATTCCGGGCGACAAGACATCTTGGCTCCCCCACCACTGTCCCTTGTACTTCCGTCCATCAGGCCAGTTAAACCTGAGGCGCGAGACAGGCACAGAAGCCGATGGGCATCGCAAGACTCTTCTTTAGGCGCAAAGTCAAGCTGAGGTCTGGGCGTTCCCTCACCATCTTTTTGATCGTTCTTGTACTCTCCCTCATAAGACCGGCCATCCACCCAGGTGAAGTGCCCGTGACCTTGACAAGGCCCCTCCGTCCCCAACTACCCATACGTGGAAACTCAGCAATAACAATTGGGACCAAGCCGTGCATTCTGTTCTTCACCCACTGCCCCTCGAACTTTCTACCATCGCCCTGGCAGCATGACATCACTTGAACCCAACGTAGAAGTTTGTGCAATTGCGGAGGGAGCACCCACTGGTACACCCCGACACCGTTGATGTCGTTGTCAACGAACTCTCCCTGCAAAGAAGCCACGCTAGGTCAGTAAAGAAGCCTGTGGCAACGAGAGCTCACAGTACTATGCAAACACTTCTGACTATTCTTTTGATTGATGGGCTAGGACCACCAAAGTACGGCACCACTCGCTCCAACTGGGCTCCAACTGCGTGGGTAAAAGCCGCTCCAAGTTTGTGAGTTCTGGAGTGCGAGTCCAGAACCCCTCTGCAACACGCTGCATCGCGCCCTTCCACCGACTCGACCGCTTGCTTTCCGAGCTCCTGTTCCCTCCACCTTCTCGCGGCAGTTCTTGCGAGCGCGCCAGCTGCACGTGATACAGTAAGTTCATGTTGCTCAGATTCCCCCCACAAAAATTCACCGATTGGCTGCTGTGACGCCTTGCTGGAGTTCCGTCGCACCGACATGGGGTCGTGTTTTCAGCCTTCCTGGCCTCGTACTTGGAGCCATCCGACCACGAGAAGTGCCCCTTGCCGCTCTTCCTGCCGGCCTGACGTTTACCATGTTCTGCAGGTTTCTGGGGTTACCATGCTACATTTAATGCAGGCCTCATACTCACCGACATATTTGGCACCTGCGGCCGCAAAGGGACGAGTTTCCGGCAACTTTGCTGATTTGGACTGGGAGTCTGGCCATCTGGCCAGATTTCCTGGCCATTCCTGCGAGAAACTTCAAGCTCTCGCTCTCTCTCTGCTGGCTCTGCGGGCTCTGCGAGCTAAGGCCAGGGCCCATGTTGCTTGTCATCGGCCTTCAGCTTTTCTCATGGCCGTAGTAAGCACCCAGATCACCCAGCCCCGTCGGCCCGGTGCCAAAGCTTAGGTCTGGGCCCAGTTGCCCTCGTACCGGGAACCATCGGCATGGTGGTACCTCGACTTGTCTTCCAATAGCACCATCAACAGAGCAGCCTTGACATGCCTGAGACTCGGAGCTAGTTACAGCTAGTTCAACGTGTCATGATACGTCAACCCTGCATGAACCTTTCACGAATCAGAAAAAAGCGCACACGCCATAGCCGTGGGCTTTGTCGGACTTCCACTCGCCTTCATAGACCTATCATGTCGGTGCGGCACGATGCCTGTGTTTGGAAGCTGTGGCACTCAAAGACACAGAAGCAGAGGCTCGCGGCATCTCCATCCACGTGTTCGAACCTTCCCTTCCCATGGGCTTTGTCAGCTTCCTGGCCACAGACGGCTGGTCGCTTGCGAAATCAAGCTCCGAACCTAGTCCGTTGGGGCTGTGGCCCAGCTACCGGTATACTTGGCACCATCCGGCCACACCTGCAGAATCACGCAAAGCACCTCTTCAAAAGACACCGCACAAGAAGACTATACCACATGATGGTTCATGATCTCGGTGGCTACACATCAGGCTTGGATGTGTACCGGTCGTGATGGCTGTTGTCTTCCTAGGTCCCTTGAGGACGTGTTTCGAACACCAGAACCCTGTGCACCAGAGCCCTGCTGTCATGCGCCTGGCCTGCTCCCCTTGGCCGTGGCGTGAGTTGCCTACCGAGCAGGAGGCGGCGAGGGCGAGAACGAAGCTTGAATCCCATCTGCTTGAAGAGCCCACAGATCTTAATATTCTTGTAGCCTTGTAGCCCCATGAACGACGGAATAGAGTTCAATAAAGGCAGATCCAGAGACAAGGCACCCATCCACTCGCCAGTGTACGTGGCCCCGTTCTCAAACCTCAGTAGGAATTCCCAGCAACTGGGACTCTAAACTCAATGGAAATGTCGCGAGACAGAGACATGCGAGACCTGAGAGGAGAGCTGGTGCGGGCCGCGCTTCTCCAGCTTGCCGTCGCTGGGATACTTGCCCTGCGCGGTTGCTCTCTACGTCTACCGACAAATTTCATGATTACTGGGTCGGCAGCAACTTTCCAGTCAAGCCCTGCCTGCACCTCTACAGCATTGCCTTCCGCGCCGGTGCAAAAGGTGCACCCCGCATTGTTGTTCCTTGGCACGACGATCAGACCCCCCGAGAGGCTATCAAACAAGCACCGCTTCCGGGGCATGAACCCCATCTGGCCGGGAACGAACCGCAGTGGCCCACGTCAACTAAGAGCCAGAACTTGCAGTGAGCATCATACACGAGCTGTGTGTCTGTGTGCGTGGGCCTCGGTTCTGAGCAGGAGATTGGTGGGGGTTTTCCTCACGAGGAGAGGGGCAAATGAGCCCCGAGGGGCAGTGGACGTCGGTACAATGTTACACTGGATTGTGGCGGTAGTTTTCCTTCTTCCTGTTATTGACACCAATCCAAGTCCGACATAACGAACATGGGTGACACGGTGATCTTGATGAACACGAAACGAAATGATAGTTGTTGATATCACGCATGCCAGACACGGGGAATGAGATTATCTGCAAGCAGGCCAACGTATTCCTGGATGAGGGGAGGGAAAACTCGAATTTTCATCCCATGTTCGTGCTGCGTAATTGGCTGTCAGGCTGGACCCCTTACCCCTTGCAGATCTCATTTCCCGTGTCTGGCAGGCGTGGTATCAACAATTATCACGTCATTGCGTGTTCATCACCATCACCCAGTGTTCATGATGTGGGACTTGGCTTCGTCTCGATAACATGAAGGAACACTACCACGACAATCCAGTGCACCGACGTACGTCGATGAGTTTTCAAAACACTCTCTGTGTGTGGGCCTTCCTGCCAGATTCCGAATTCTAAACCGGGTATACCAAAGGCAACACGTCACCGCGGTCGTGAGCTTTCTTTCTCTCTAGGTGCTGGCTCCAAGTGTCGCACGACAAGTATCACAATGACGCACTGGTTCCAGATATTAGACCCTGACGAGGTGGTTTATGCTCTCCAGATCTGGCATGTGACAATTGTCGACTCACGACATGGTCCAGAGTCGAAGCTGTGGACTGCTTGCCCTTTTCAGCGGCGGGCTATCGTTTCAGATGTTTGGCGTTCAGGGGTCGGCATTTTAAGTTTGAGGCCTTTCAAAACGGGGCTTCGGGTCGCTCGCTGGCTACTGGTCCAGGTTGCCAAAACGACATCCTGCATTCCAAGGGCAAATATAAGGCCCTCCAGGATTATCTTGAACGCAAAACAAGAGACCAGACCTCCCATGAATCTGCCCAAGAAGGTTTCCTCCCTTACAGGGGCAATCGTTGCAGTGGGACATCTGGCAGGAGGTAGGCGACGAAACTTTTCCGACAAGTCACCCCCGGCCCCCAATACGGCAGCACCTTGTAAGCTTGGAATGAAGACTCGGGAGCCGTCATCTGCGAGGCTAGATGGCATATTCTTTTCGCATGACTGAGGTGCGTCAGGTCCGATCAGCCTGATGGGGATGACACAGAGAGAAAGCATCAGCAGAATGCCTCTGAAGGCCATGTGTGCCTCGGAGAAAAGAGCTGCGAGGCCCTTCTCCGACGCTTCCGACAGACCACGCTCCTGCAATTTGCAATGCCCACAGAGCGCTATCAGCGGCTGTCGTCTTACGATGGCTCCGTCAGCAGTCCAGTGACCAGGCGTGATGGTGTCACATCAAACCTGCCACGCAATGAGCAAGACCCTAGCTCTGCCGCCACACTTGCTACTTGTAGCACTCCGGCATCTCACGCAAAATGTCTCGTGGACGTGCTTTTTGGGGCAAGGTTTGTCTTTGATCCCACTATCCTGGTGATCCCGTGACTCGAGTAGCCAGGCGAAGTCATCTATGTCATCTGCCCATGTCAAGAATGGCAGCACCACGCCCAATTGCCAGCTGAGCTGTTTGCCGGGGTCAGGAGGACCTGCCAAGCGGACAGGCACAGAGCTTCATCGCGGCCTCATGGCCACTACTTCTATCCTTGTACTCAGCTTGTGACTGTGAGGAGTCCGAGCCTTGCGACGCTTACCATCCTCACAGAGGCCCTGTCACGCGCCAGACTTTCAGTGTGTTCTCTTGCACACATCACTCACAGGTAGGCAGCCGCAAGTTCAAGCTGAGCCACAGAATCACTCATCACAACCATTCCCTTCTACCGTTTCGGCTTCTGTGCTTTTCGTGGCCACAAAATATTGGCGAAGACTTATTGCCACCCTAGGCAAAAGCAGCTCCTGGGCTATCCCAGCCAAACCTCCCGCAGCCCACAGCACGGTTTTCTTTGAGGCTGGCCTACGACCCTAGCCCTAGCCTGACTTGCGATCCGGAAACAAACCACGGACATGGCGGGCAGGGGCACCTCCGCGTACTTGACTTCTTCGTCACCACGCTGTTCGATAGGGATGTCTGCCTTTGTGTGGGCGATGCGCCGATGGATGCTCAAAAGCTTCCGCTAGGACCGGCATTGCCGGGCACGCTGCCCCGTCTTTAAGACGCCAGTCGATCGTACTGGACGGAAGAGCAACGTAGAACCTCCAATCTCACAAGCTGATGCATCGGGGCGGAGCCTGAGGATGCTGTCGCTCAGCCGTTTGCGGCAAGTTGTTGTCTTTGGCCGCCAGGGCCTTACAAAAAAAGGCGTCGCAAGAATTCGGGAGGGCCTTGGGGAATCTGTAGGGCCTTTAAGTACGTGCCGATTTTGTTGCAGGCATCTCCGCAGCTCGAGACTGAAGCAGCGCAGGACGACGCAGACAGTGCGAGAGCTGACACAGAACCGACAGAACCAGCGCTGGCCTCGGTCTGCACCGGTGATGACCACGTCCACTAGTCCGGTCCTGGCAGCGGGTCGTCAAGGAAATCCATCAGATCAACCGAATCCAACAGCTCCTCATGAGATGACCACCGGCGTTGTCGGCGATCACGGTGTGCCGCACTCCATGCTTGGCCTGCCAGAGGAGATTTACGAAGCTTCGCGAAGCTTTGCTGCAAGTCCGAATTGAGGACACCACCAGTTCCCAAGCAGTTAGCGAGGCTCCCTGGTTACGTGGTCGGGTCTCGTCAACCTGACCAGATAAACTTATTGTGCACCGTGTGCGGCGTCTCCCCGACTTCCTGACCCCTCTGATCAACTCGGGGTAGCCACCCAGACATGGATCGGAAGACCCTTGTCGAAAGCCGCGTAAACCTCACACACTGCGCTGCATGATTGGCTGGCAACATGGGGCAGGACGGGGGCGTCGCCGGAGACAATGCAGAGCCTGATCAAGACTTTTGAAAACCAACGCTTTTGTCGTTTCTTCACTCAGGCAGCCGGCCCCAGTCAGCAAATGCCAGCCAGCCAGCATTGCAGTGTGTTAGCACCTGAGAACGACCCTCAACATGAATTTGAGAAGCCAAGCGACGACTTCGCAGGTACGGCATGCAACTTCACTTGCAACAAGTCTAGATAACTAGGTGCCTCGCGTTGATCGTGAGCTTGTCTTCTGGACTTGCCGATGCCTTCTTCCTTTGCCACGTGGCCAAGACATCAAAGCTGATCGAAGGGCAAGGCGGACCTCTCGTAGAGCTGCTGCAGGAGATCTGCCCCCGCTTCACCGATGCGGCGGCAGAAATCAGCATCCTCGGAAAGTCGGGAATGCTCCGGGCATGGAGTTGCCTCCACCATCCTCCACCACGCCTCATCTGTGATTCTAGCGGCTTCCTTGCGAGCAGCGCCCAGCGCAGCCTGAAGGACACTCTTGCACCATGTTCCAGCATTATTGGATGAATTCAGTCTGGCACGCGGCTTTGCGACAACAGTCTCCCTTCCCATAACTATCCAAGTACACGTGTCAACGAAATGGCTAGTCGCTGGCCTCTAGGCTGCCACCATTCGGTCCCAGGACCTGTTAGCATGGCAAGGCATTGGTGCTTGCGGTGCGCCAACATGGCACAACTGGTCACATGGTCTGCATGCAGCCTTCATCAATGCTTGCAACGCTCACAACATTCGTCCAGGCAGCCAGCGCTTTCCACGGCCTTTGCAACCTTCTCAACACCTTCAAGCTTTTGAGGAATCAAGGTCGCAACACGCACACTGTGATAGTGGTGACATTGACCAAGAATCGTGTCTGCCTAAGGGTTCGGTGGAACGACCTGAGGAGGAGGCCGACTCGGAGGTTCACTGCTGTCGGGCGAGTTGCCCGCAGCTGTTGTGAGGCATGCTCAAGGCGCTCCCGAACCTCCCAAGACTCCAAGATCCTCTAAGTGTGCAAGCGACATCAAGCGAGGCTATCGCAAACGGCAAAGCACCTCTTTAGCGCTGCTGGTCTTGCTCAGCTCGCGCAGGCTCAGGTACATCCCGTATGCGGCAGCACAGCCTGGCACAGCTCGAAGCAGCACGTGGAACCGTGGAACCGCAGCCCTCTGAAGGCAGGGGCCTATGAGGCCAGCACCTCGTACATGCATGTCCTACAGGGCAGAACCTTCACTGAGTACTGCTCTGACTCACTGAACCGACATAGTACATCACGTCAACAAGCAAACCTTGATGACGATGCTCATCTCATCCAAAGAGCGGACATCCTGGCATGTGAGCCACATGCGATCAGTTTGACTCCGCGAGTTTACCACCTAATTCTTCAGCAGCTGCACCTCTATCACGAACTCGTGTGGCAGATGCCTGTGGTCAGGCTGCATGATGTGTAATAGCTGGTTCGCAACTTCGCAAAGACTGCGCCAAACCAACTCCAACATACCCGCGTCTGGATGCATCCCGTGGCCCCAAAGATTTCCTCACGCAAAACATGCCAGGCCGCCCGGCCTCTGATCGATGATTTGAACCTGATTACTCCGAACAAACTGCAAACCTGAAGAACTTGGCAACCGGGCTGCCGGCGACGTCAGGATCCTTCAGCCAGATCGTCCTGTACCTTGCGGCATGGAGCAAAACCCGGCTGCCGAAATACGAGAACCTGCGACTGCCAGAGCTCGAAACCAGGTGCCGTCCACTCTCATAGGACCTGGGCATTTGCCACGATGTCACTGCCACTTGCGGGTTCAACGAGCCTTCCACAGCCGCTTACCGGCTCGTGCTGCAAGATCCTTGCAACCCCCAGCCTCACCAGGCAGCAAACCGGCTGGTAAGCAGTCAAAACGGTCATGATCTAAGCCCAGCACACAGACTCTCGGAGAGACTGTCCAAGGCAGCTTTGGATGGCGCCCGCGGAAGACGGAACAAACCAAGTCTGCTAGTGCTTGCTTTCCAGCCCGTGCTCTTAGTCTTGCCACGACCCTGAACCTAGCAACAAGATGTCGTGCATGCAACTGCCAGTTTTGGCTGCTACCAGGCTGCAGTTTCAGTTGCTTCAAGGCACGGCAGACTGCCACATAAAATGCATTGCGACACATAGGAAGATCATGGAGGGGACAGAACGAATGACACAATCAATGCCTTTGGCAGCCCCGCTCCCGTCGCAGCACACAAGATTGAGATCTTGCGTCTAATGCTGGTTCAGCCGAGCTCTTGCCAACGAGAAGTCCGACGGCTGGAGGACTACATTCTGATGCATTTCAGTGGTGATTCCGGAGAGTTGGACCATCTTTGCACGTTGTTTAGAAGTTGCCGGCTACAAAGCAATCCACTCGTCTGCAGTTTGTTCACTAATACAGCCAGTGCTGAACTCATGAATTGAGTCGCCTCCAGTTGCCACCCAACATACTTTGGTGCTGCTACATTTGATTTTGCACACTCGCCGGCTAAGGCTAGGTAGCAATAACTGCAGTCATGTGCTGCACCCAAAATCGTCAAATGGAACCCAAATGGAACCTAATGAGAGATAAGAGCTGTACACACGGCTTCTGCCGGTCCTCAGCACATGGCCGTGGCGATAGCTCAACGGCGGGCAGCTTTGACGCAACGATTCTCACCGCGTTCTGAAAGGCATGGTGTCGCCTCCACAACTCGTCACAGCATCAGAAACTCATGTATGGGTGCTGCTTGTGACTCTCATAGACGAAACACTATCTTTTGCTCTGTCTGGTTGTCAAGCCCAGACTCTGCACCATACCTCCAAAGCCTATACCTCCAAAGCCTATGATGGTAGCCCCGCTTGCTCATCCCGTCTCGGCTGCGCTCTGGGGCGTCCACGATCTCGCAAAGACGGCTCTCTGATCATCTCTTTCTAGGTTGTCTCTTCTACTTCTACAGGGAAGGAAACGAACGGCGGTCCCTCTTACTCCCTCGTGCCCTGATCATTCCTATCCTCCGTTTCAGATGGATGTGTTCAGACTTGCCAAACCTCGGCATGTCCCCCCTGGAACGACATGCAACGTTGACCCAGCGAAACATGGGGCCGTGAATACTACTGCGACTCTCTAGTCGCCGCACTCAATGCCTTGCTCACACCCCTGGTCTCCCGAAGGGGAAAGAAGAACGTGCTTGAAGCTGCGAAACCCGCCAACTTTCTGTTGGTCGCTGGCTGTGAGAAACCACGTTGCTGATTCGATATGAGTGGAGTTGGTTCCGCACCTTTGGGCTGATTTGGAAATTGCTTTCAGGATCCGCTGTTGCACATACTTGTAAGCAGGCTTTTCCGCAAGTCTTAACATTGAGTTCCCGTCCTCAAAGCACGCCCAACCACATGGCTGCTGGCGTTGGTTTGGGTAGCATCTAGGAATCTGCGAGTAAGCCCCTTCCATAGCAATCGTCGTCTTTCGGATTTCGCCGTTTGCCTTTTTGGTGCATTGGTGCGTCGACGACCTACGACCACAGCAGCTTGCATGCAAACAGCCCTTTTCATCGCACCATGAACCGCCACGCTCCCATCGAGGGCTGCGAGCCAACGTGACAGCTACTTGTGTGTTTTTCAGGTTTCCCTTGCGTTAAGACATTAGGATTGCGCAGCGGAACGAAATTCACACTCCGGCCCAGGGATTTGCATAAACACAGACACCCCCGATTCGCACGCCAAATTCTTGCAATGGAACGGCCGATTCTCGCACACCACTAACGGCGGCATTCTTGCACCCGAAATTCGCGCTTGTGATTCGAGCACCAGCACAAGCCGCGCGGATTCGCGCACGAGCCGTGCGGATGAGATTCGCGTTGGGCTCAGGACTAAGTGACTAGGGTGTCCCCCAAAGCCTATACTTTGAAGCCCCCAACCACAACAAAAACAGAGCCCTGACAACGACAAAAAATTTTCAAATCCCAACAGGAAAACAAAACTTTGACAACGACAAAAGACCTGGAAAGCCTAGCAAGCAACAACTTCCCCAACAATGCTAACAGCACAGTTGCTGCCTGCACATTTTTGCGCAAGGGACGGCCCGGCAAGCAATCTGTGATGTCTCCGGGAGCTGTGCTTCTGACATGGGTACGGGTCACCCGGCAAGCAATCTGCGATACCTCCGGGAATTGTGCTTCTGCCTCGGGTAAAAAGATTTCTCCGAAGCCCTTTCGTTAAGCAATTCGGGACATGCCCACGACCCTGCACTGGCACGACATCTCTTGGTGTAACTGATGCATATGCCTTGGCAACAGCATTTTGCCTCAAGCTTCTCCTGAAGCCCTGGCATGGCCTTCAATGCAAAGCCGATGCACTTGAGCTATCTAATATCATCCGTGTTTTCAAAGTTGCACAATCGGCTCACAAGATCATCTTTGCGACCGGTGACCTGCAAGGGAAACCGCACCTCCTCAGGACCCATGCCGCCGAGAGGCGAAGCTGCCCCACGGCACCAAGGGCACCCTGCATCGCCGCATCCACGTCGAAGGCATCCATAATAAGAAGAAACAATCAGCGGTATACGGCTCCCATTGCTCCGGAGCCCGAAAACAGCACTGGCCAGCCGACCGTCACGAAGATCAACCGCAGCACCAGAAAACCGAGATGATGGCACACCGGTACATGGCACCATCCAGTGGACTCAGAAAAACATGCAAGCCATGGCCCTGCAACGTAGCAACGAAGCTCGCAGAGGAAAAAAGGTCCACATCGATTTCTTGAGCACAGCACATCACTTGCCAAGGCATCGTCATTCATCAGGTCGATGAGTGCGTGTATCTTGGACGCGCCGCCAGACTGTACATTAATGGGTGGCCAGCACGATCACGGATCGCCACCGATCATAGCCCTGGCCTTCTGGACAATCCCGGCCAGCACTTCCTTCTCAATACCATGCTGAAAAGTGTGGGCCCGGGCCTGTAGCTTAGCAAGCTCCTCGCGGGCCGTCATAAACCTCTTGAGGATCTGCATGCAGCGATGGCACCGGACATAGACCTGGTCGGTCAAGACCCCCGAGCCTCCACGCGGCATAAAGACGAAGTTTCACCTGCTTGTTGGGCCCAAAGAGGAACACACAAGCCAGCACCCTCGCCCTTGGCCATGGTCAAGCCGATCCATTCGCTTGCACGTCACATGCACCGGGTCCTTGGTCGCGCCTCCTTGGCGCTGACCTCGGGGTGGGCCTTCTCTCGGTGGCGATCCTGCACCGCCTTGACCCGCAACCTTGATGCAGAAGCCAAGCCACCAGCCGGGATCAATGTGTGCGCAACAACGGCAATCCTCAATGACTCAACGAACGATCCATCATGCTGCTGGGCCGGATGTTGGGAGGACTTACGGGCGTAGTACTGCACCAAGGTCAGTGGTCCACGCCCAGCACCAGCAGGCTGAGGAGTGGTATCCAGTGTCAGGGTCCCGGCTCGGTGGCACCACACGTGCCGGCATCACTAAGCACAGCCCGGGCCCCAGCAGAGGCCGAAGCAGATCTTGCCCCAGCTGCCGTCCATGCAGAGCCTTTTGCCGAGGAAGCCAGCCGTCGAAGACCGCCACGTCATGCCGCTTCCAGGCTGAGGCCAAAGTAGGGGCAGGAGCCACCCGCCGCCCGGAAGTCGCCGAGGGAGTCTTGGACCTTTTGTCCGCTGATGCGCCACCGCCTTTCTTCCCAGAAGCCGCCGTCCAGCAAAAAGCCGTGGGAGCCGAGGAAGCAGCAGCCGAGGATCTCGACCAAACCGACTTAGCATCACTGACAACGTCAGCGCCACCACCACCACCGCGCATCGGCACCTCCTTCCGGAGGACCCCGAATGTCCATGATGGACTTGGGCAAGGCCCTGCCATCCCCCTCCAAAAGGTCTTAGTGGCTCCCAGTGAAGTAGTGCACGATCACCCACTTCTTGGCCTGCCCATGCACATGAAATGGTTCCGTGAGCTCACTGGCGGGGAAGACGCGCCCTGAGCTCAGTCAAGCCGCCCCAGATCTCGTCCGTCTCGATGGCGGTGATGTAAGCCGCCCAGGCCTTGGCCTTAGTGCGGTCCGGCATCTCCCAATCCCACGTCTGCACGTAGCGCTCCTCGTTCCGCTTCAACAGGAGCGGTGCAAGAGGCCTCCACCTTCCTTCCTCGCCCCGTCAGCCGAAACGGCGACGAGTCAAGTGTCGAGTCAAGTGCAAGTCATTCTTGCAGAAACATGTTTTTTGTTGCTGATGTCGTTTATTTGTTGCCAATCGTTGTTTGTTGTGGCTTGAACTCTTCCTCACAATCTTCTTCTCCTGCCTGTGGAAACCCCAATTCCGAAATCCCTAAACCTTTCGTTTTAGACCCTAAAGCCGCAAATGCTGGAAGCCCTAAACCCTAAAAGTAAACCCTAGAAACTCTCAACCCTAAACCCTAAACCCCAAACTCCTAAACCCCCCGAAACCCACACTCCTAAACCCTAAACCCCAAACTCCTAAACCCTAAACCGTAAAACCCTAAACCCTAAACCCTGAAGCCCCAAACCCCTAACCCCAGAAACCGACATGTCAATGCCCGAAACCGTCAATCCTAAACCCTATAGAAAATTATGGCAGCGACGGAAATCCTGATCCTACCGGCCGGGCCACTTGTTTTCGCACCAGAGCACGCAAGCCGTAACGGCTACGGCGATCTGAAGTTGAAAGCTCGCACCGACCGCATGAGGCGTGTTTTGACACAGACCCCCCCTGGAGCGGAAGGTGCCACGTCACTGGAAATCGGCCCTCTGTTTGGCCTTTGCTTGGCTACGCCAAAAGCAGCCCGCTTTTGGGCTGCAGATCGCCGTAAGGCTTGTGCCTCCGCTGTGTCCACTAGAGACCAGCACCCTTCTCACATGACCCGTGTGAGCACTTGATTGTGCGCCCACTTCGTCAGCCCATCACCAGGCATTTCCGATCCTGGCACCCAGCGGATGAAGTTGGAGGAGTCAGGCTCAAGAAGTCCCCTGCCTTAGGGCCTTAGGACTCCCACGTCGATAGCAATCTTCCTGTCCGACGGCAAGACTTCTGAAGCCACTGCGTCGTAACCTGTCTTCGCGTCGGTCACCAGGAGATGCCGCCACTTAGCCGCCGAGAGTTTCCAGCGATCCATCCGGAAGCTCGGGTCGAGCAGTTCTGCCAGCACCGCCCGCACATAGTCGCCGTGCTCAAATGCTGTAGCCAGAGAGCTAACTTCAGCAGACATTGAGCACCGAACCACACGTTGGATCTTCGTGCTGGCTGCCTCCATGATGCAGACGGGCCCCTGCTCATACAGCACTGACGGGTCAGTGAAAAGCACCATGGTACCGCCTTGACTGCCCCCGAGCGGCATGGCTCCGAAAGCGGCATCGCTCACCGACACCACCAGCAGCTCGTCCAGCTCGCAGTTGAACTTCCGAACTGTAAGCTCCAAGTCGGAGTTCAACCACTTGAGCGCCTCCGCCTTCCCTTGACCAGCGAGCTGCTGAATCAACGACGCCACGAACGCCAAGTCGTACCGCCCCTGACGAGCGGCCCAGTTCAGCTGCCCCACCACGGACCCAATCAAACGACGCTCATCCGCGGTCAAACCAGCCTCGTACTCGCCAGCTGTGACCTTCTCGTGCATATACTCAATGACCCCCTCTGCTGTTGCTGAACATGGTTCTAGACCCCCACCGGACACGGCACCTGGTGAACATATAGTCGTCGTAGGACCAGAGGTTGAGGTAGTAGCTGTCTCCGAACCTGCCACCAAGGAACTTCCGAAGGTTGAGGTAGTAGCTGTCTCCGAACTTGCCGCAGTGGAACTTCCGGAGGTTGAGGTAGTAGCTGTCTTCGAACTTGCCGCCGTGGAACTTTCGGAGGTTGATGTAGTTGTTGCCCGTGAAAACGGCGCAGTTGGCGCCCCGTCATGCATGCTGATCCTCATGCTGTAGGCGTCGGGATCTTGAATTTCCCAACGGCCACAAAACTTTTGCCAACCCTCAGTGGCCTCCCTCATTTTCCCGAACTTCAACCGCCGACGCAGCTCGTCCCACAGGGCCTGACTAGAAAGGTCACCGGCATAGCGGGTGTCATCCCCGTGGATCGACGCCAAGGGTGGAAGGCCCGAAACAGCCGCGGAACCAGAGTAAGTTCACGAAGACCAATCTCCTCAATGGTCTCCTTGTACTCGAGGTACCAAAGACGAGGGCTTTCAGGTAGCCCGAATCCAGCCTTCGTCAACTCCACCACATCACCGCGCACCTCGCCTCCCAGCTCGGTCACGAGGTAGTCGAGGATCTCTGCAGGATAGCCATGGACATAAACGTTTTCGGTGCGCGGCAAATCCTTCCCCTGCTTGCCGTAGGTGCGCTCGTAGCATGCAACCCGGCGTCGGGATCTCGATGACCTCCAAATATCCACTTCCTGGAGCTGGTCGCCCCCCTTGTGGGTCAAAACGAACCGCGAACTCAAGATCCTCTTGGGGTCGAGCACCTTGTCCCTGGGAACACCCTTGATGCCCTTGTGCTCGAGGTAGACGCCGATGGCTTTCTTGAGGGCCGGCGCGAACACCTGCTTCCACTGCTCGTCAAGGTCTCGCCACCGGTACTCGATGCGGGCCTTGCCGGTCTTCACCTCCGTGACGCCCTCCCTCACAGCAGTCTCCTCCTCCTAGCTGCTGCAATCGAACCGACACCTCCTGAAGCGCTTAGACCCCGCTCTGTGTGGCGAACTCCACAAAGTCCAATGATCGACCGTACGTAACCAGTCCCCCAAGCCCACCTCCTCACCCGCGACCATCACCCCGCGGGCATGACGACTGAGCGAGCACCCGCTTTGCCACCACCCTCGCGTCCGGTTCCCGCAGCGCGGCTTGTAGATGGAAGTCAGCTGGTCCCTAATGGCCTGGGGATCCGCCTCCTGAGGGGCCGGGCCTCCACCATTGGTGCCCGACGTAGAGGAAGGAGCCAACTCGCTCGAACAATGCCCGGCGAAGGCACGGCTCGTCGCTCCTGTTCTTCGGCCTGGGGATCCGCCTCCTGAGCGACCGGACCGGGCCTCCACCATCCGTCGAGGAAGACGAGGAGGAGGAGTCACGAGTAGCTTGTGCCGAACGGCGTGTGGCAGCCTGTGCCTCCCAAGCCTGAGGCGCAGCTTGACCTTCCACCGTTATCCTTCCACCCTGTAGCTCATCTTCCACCTCCTCAAGCGCCTCATTGACAAACTGGGCACTCACCATCTCATTCAAAGTGGCCAACCGAACCTTCTCCAAAGGGAAAGCCTTGACCCGCCCAGGCAGCCACCCTTTGAGGCACCCGTGTGTCCCTCTCCACACAGACAATGATGCCTGGGCCGTTCCACGAAGAGTGATCTTGTATTCAACGGACCGTGGCACCTTCCCTGATGCCTTCCACCGTGGGTGGTCGCGAACGTGAACTGAGGGCCCGCCGCAGGGCCTCGTGAGAATCCAACCAGTGAAAGGCCTCCACCTCCCCTTGCCGAATCCTGTCTGCCCGCTGCAGCGCCTCGTTGGTCCCCATGGCCTGGTTGTACTGGTAGCGCATCTGGCCCGTACAGATCTGCTGGATAAGAGACCCCGGCAACGTAGTGCTGCGCCCAGTCACCGCCTGCATCGAGGAGACACCCCCCTTGTTCACGGTACGGTACACTAGCTAGCACTTCAGTCCCGCCACCACCCCAAGACTCTGCCTAGGGTTCGTAGCAGCTAAGCCGGTACTTAGCAACGACCCTCAGCTGACGCTTTTTGCGGTGTGGCGAAAGAT